CGATCGAGTGTGATCGGCAGGCCGTTCACATTCCACCGAAACGATCCAGTCGATCGGAGATATCCGGTGCCTTGTTGGGATCATTAGTGTGAGATCGTGTGACGTAACGAGCCAATCAGTGTCTCGACCGTTGGAGTAATGATCGTGTAGCGAGAGGTATTAGCATCGCGAACGGACGGGCAATACCGTTAAACAAAACCTTGCCTGGTGACCTTTGTCCGGAAGAATCGCAGGGGACTCGGCCGATGACGAGGACGATCTTGTCGAGTCGCACAGCCGCCTTCCATCCAGATCGCACGCGTTTTTTGCGGTCGCGCGCGGTATGTTCCTCCGTCTAAGCAAAGGCACGGACTGGAGAACAACGGGTCGCTATAAAACCAGCCTGGTGACCTTTGGCTTGACGGACGTAAGAAACGTAGGTATGGTAGTGAACTGAGCGCAATCATCGCAATCCTGCGTAGTTCTTCAAAGTGGTTTTCGAATCTAGAAGAGACGGACGATAAAGAAACGAATGTTACTGGTGAGACGTGATTCTTCTCAAACGACAGGATAACTACATGTTTGAAGTTTCAAGGATATGCTCCCCTTTTAGAAACATTCTCAGATAATCTTTTTAATTCTGAAATCTATCTTTTATATTTATAGAAAGATCTATGGCTATGAAATTAAATGTCTTTCTCTAAAATTATATTATAATCCATTTTAAATAAAAATATTCTACTAATTACATTCAATGGTTTTTCGTGTAATTTTTCTTACATTTTTATAGTTTTAATAATCAATTTTAGAGTAGTCAATTTTATATCATCAAAGTAAATTTGAATTACATTGTACGGTCAAATAATCTACAACCTTGTAAGAACATTGATCTATAATTTTATAAAGAAATGTAATGATCCTTTTTTAGACAGTGGATAACTCTTTCGCAAACTCATAGTGCTGTCTGCGTCTTATATGTGTTGCGTCGTGTATTTCACATGCTGTGCATTAGTCGAGCACGTCAAATGTAAAAAAACTTGAACGGGAAAGAAAAACACATTTTCGTAGAGTCAGGTTTGATTAATTGCCGCAGAAGCGCAATAATGGTTTGTACGTAACATACCGCCAGGTGAGGACTTAAACCTATTAACGTACGTAATTCCATTACGAATTCCCAGCTTAGTGAATACACGTACCGCAGCCATGCGGTGACCGGTGGGCGGTAATGGGTTAATAACGTCGATTCTTGGCTGTCCCCGGCGAGCGAATTGGCCACACGCGCGAGCAACGTGACGCCGAGGTATCGTAGTGATGGTGTACCGTTCGACGACATTGTGTTTGAATAAACGCTTCTATATACAACAATAAAATACGACTATCGCGCGAGACAGTCTGGCAGGACCCTCCGGAGATAATCAGCGGAGAAACATCGGAATCGTTCCCTAGCTAGCGACAGTTTGTGACCCGTGTCCCGCCGTAATTACGATTCCGAGGAGTACTTTATTACCGTCTGACATTCCGTCGTGCTTAAAACCGTCGTTTCACCGTACGGTGGCTGTCACAACAGGCACGACATTAGTAACGCTGATATGGCCGCAACTCCACCTCGAGATAAGAGATCTTTCATTCTCCTTCTTGTCTTTCTTCTTCCATCTTTGGTTATGCCTTCAAACGCTGCGAGTAAGCACCGCGGTAAGCATGCGCACGCACAAATCTATAGCATAGCCCGTATTGTGAAAGCCAAGTCATCAAGGTGTGCGCGTCGATCACGATTGACGAGAGTTCGATGCGATAGGAAGTATCTCGTAATTTCGTGTCAAAAAATGACACGCTGTACAACGAGATCGTTATCCCGCGTATACACCAACATGTCTACAGGTGCTTGCCCTTCCACGATACCTTCCAGCGGCAGGCTCAAAGACGCCGACGTCGATTCTCGGATCGCGGGTGAATTTAGCCAAACAGGTACGTCGGACGTATAATATGCGTATTATGCTCTGAAAGCACGAGCGAGCGGCTTGTGTATTTGAGCACCCTCGTCCGCTGGCGCGGGGAGATCGGCAAGAAGCGATGCGCGGCGTTTGCCCGGGGCTCGTTGTCTCGAAGGACCTTTGACTCCGGGACAAGAATGACGATCAATATTGACGAGGAACGGGGATTTTCGCTATCGCTTCGCCGAAACCAGCCGGCCGACGCGTTTCGGAACTCGGTAAAAGAGGCGCCGACTTCCGTCGGAAGGCTCGCGCTGGAAGAAACTGGTGACGTTAATGGATATAAGGATGATTCAGTTCGATGTAGTGTAAAAGTGCGTCTGGACGCTTGTAAGGATGTTAATCCTTTGTACTCAGGGGCAGCAGCGCAGCGTCGATGTAAGCATTCCGCTCATCTAAATGTTAATCCTATATACTGCAACGTTCATCTGCAAGTACTGCAGCATCATCTCGCAGTAATCAATATATACCTTCTCTGTTAAGATAGAGGCGATAACTCATAGATATTTTAATGAGCAATCTCCAGAAATATACAATTTTTCTGGATGTGTTTTTTTTTTCAATTATGTAGCTTCTTTGTATAATCGGAACTTTAATTTGCGATTGTACGCGTCGGCAAATCTCGGAAGATCATAAAGAAGAACGTAACTTAAAATATTAGTATTCTACGTTATTACAATATGAAATGAGAAACTCATGAAAATTAATTTCAACGGAGTTGATATATTTTATATTATTAAATCAAAACGTGCGACGAACATCATTTTTTTCGCATTGCAAATTCTTACATTACAGTTATATATATATAGTCTCACAAGAAAACACTAATAGTCTGCAATGTATACAACGTCTCTCTCTACTGTGCGTGGGATAACTAATTACCGCGCGATAAATTATTCATTCACTATCTTAAAGAAGACACGAGTACCATCAGTTCCCAAAGAATAGGACGCGAATCTCTTTGCGAGAAAGAGAGAGAGAGGGAGACACAGAGCAAGTGAATGCGAAGCAATAGTTAGAATAGAAATACAGGAAAGACAAGTGTTTGTACCGATGAAGAAACAGAGAAGGGAAAGCCGGTGGAAGGAGGAAGGCGTAGGAGAAAAAGAAACGGAACAGCGGCGAAGCGAAGAGAAAGGGCGACCACGGCAGGCACGGAAAATAAAAAGAAAACGAGACTCGCGAAACGAGACGCACAAAACCTGAAGAACTGGCGAGCGAAGAGTAAGAGAGAAGAGAATCAGCCCAAGTTCAGGTCATCCAAGCACGAAAAGATGTAGGGTGAATGTTTGCAAGATGCTCCATGAAATCGACCGTTTTTACTTGACCTGTATCGTTATTTTTAACTTCCTGTGAAGTATTCTCTTTATTTATGCGCGTGTTTAACTGATCATATACAATATTATACACATATTTCTTTAGTTTGTCCAGAGAAAATTTCATATTCTTTTTTTCTTACTAAATTATTAAAATATAAATTATTTTTTATAATTACTTGTGCTGTTTAGTAAACATATTTATGCATTTAATGCGAAATGAAGCGTAATACTGTCCAATATAATGCTGTTTTTTGCTTAAGCGAGAAAATGTGAGGTGTTTTTATTCGATTTGGGAGTGCAACCGGTTACCACCAAAAGTGCGATCTCTAAAGAGGTCGTTGATTGGCCGAGAAGTTCCACGATTGCTCCGTGATAATGCGTTTGCTTTCGGGCCCGGGCGCGGCTCACGAAGCGGTAGGCAAAAACGAGCATCGGAAGAAAAAAACCCGAAGAGATAACAGCGTGCGGGGTGAGCGGGTACCCGAGCGGCCGGAGGGGGCGGCAAAACCGGAATTTCATACAGTGGCGTAACACGCCGAGTAATACGTCGAGAATCACGAAACTGCATCGAGACTGCTACTCGGCTTCCCCTATCGACCTCCTTCCCCTCTTAAATGTTGGTCTCGAGATCTCGTTGCCCGATTAGACATTCGACAAGGTAGACTATGCTCTTATCAGGAAGCTCAAACTCGTTCTTTGCCGATCAATTAAGTAACCTGCGTTACGCGGCTAATTAATTTCGCTGCAATTAATTAGGCTCGTCTCGGCGAATCGCAAAGCGCGCTAGCTCGTATTGAGTCTTTAGGCGTCCCCTTCTCCCGATTAAATATAAACTGCGCGCGTATGGCATTGATTTAAATTGTAACGTCGGTCGTTAATTCGATGTATATCGTTTGCAATGCCGACTGTGCATCGCGATAAAATTTGTTGGTTTAGCGCGTCGATATAAGCGGCCTATCGCGGCTCCTAATGAATGCGCACCACGAGCTTGCGAAGTAGGAATTAATTGACATTGAGAAAGCGCCGGTACGCCGCGGAGCACGGGATTATCGATAAAGAAGAACTCTCGGATCCAACCACACGATGAGTCGCGGAGGTACCATGTGGTGGCGGCTTCTACTGGCAGTGGCCAGAGGTATTGATGACCTTGCCAAGGTTACCGCATCCTAACTACTACCGGCCCTTCCTCCGTTCACCAACTGTCTCTGTCTTCCACATGGCCCTTATTGCTATAAAGCACTCGCCCTGATTCCCCGAAGGCGTGTGCCATTCATTCGCCACTCTTTCGTCCTCTGGCTTCATATTTCTCCCCTTTAAACCTCCTTTCCTCTCTTCAACTACGCGTCTTTTTAGTTTTTGCTTCGTTACATGCATGGCCTTTTTTTATCGATCTGCTCGGGATGCTAAAATCGAAACCGCTGAACCGAGGCCGTCATGGCGCGCCTATTGTACCACGCTCTCCTTGAAAACACAATTGTATTTGCCTCATTTCTTCGTTTCCTTTTTCCATCGAAATATTGTATTCTATTACCTTTTTTTTGTAATACGTGCCGCGGTTCTTATCGTTGTTGCTGCATAACATTGCGCGCTGCAATTTTCCAACCTTACACATTTGAAAAACAACGTGGGAAGAGAGGGCTGATGTTTGCTGAAGAAAGTGATCGACTGTAATTTAATCGTAGCTAACGCAGTTTTGTCCTTTCTTTTGCAGAAACAAGACTGGCAACTCCTACGGTGCTCAAGACAACCATACTGGAGGCGGCGGAGGTGGTATAGGAAAGTGGTTGCGCGAACATCTCGGTGGCGGTTCCAAAGGAAGTCACGATATCACTTCCACATTTTTCTCGAAGGGAAACATAAATACCGGCGATAATAGCGGAAACAATAAATCCTTAGGTAAAACGATTTACACGTCGCAAAATCTCTACTGCAGTCTGCCGAGAGAGCACGGTCGCTATATGCACAATGCTGCCCGAAAAATCAATCACGGCAGTTTCGCGAAGCTTCAAGGTTACGATCGGCCGCGATCAAACAGCATGAACCACCACGAGAAGTCCATGTCGAGCGACCTCGGGACCTTGACGCGAGGCGGACCGATCTACGGCAGCGAGGGTAGAAGCTTGAAGAAACGAAATCGCGATCGTCGTCGGCATTCGCTTCACGAGACACAGGATCAAGGACGCCATCGTCGAAAAAGGTAAGTGTAATCTTGCGGAATGTAATATGTCTAGTTAACAAATATAAATTTAGAAATGTAAATAATTATGCTTTAGTCATCAAATGCTTAAATAAGCTAAAACTAGAATAATAACTTCTTAGTACGAAAAATATCTTTCTTCGCGTTATGAAGAATTTAATATGTAAACTTATAAACTATACTAAATACATTAATTAACTAAGCAATTACAAATTTCACGATATCTATATTTTTACAATAACGCTTTATATTTAAAACTGGATTGAGAAAAGAATTACGGGCGACTTGAAATTTCCATGATTTTTATTCGTTGTTTTATTATTTATTTAACAACGTATACAGGGTGTCTGGCAATAATCGCCCCACCGGTCATATACAGGTAGAGGAGGTCAAATCGAGTAGAAAAGTCCTTTACCATTTTTTAATTTTCATAATAAGTACTGAGTAATTAACGAAAAAAGATCGGCGAATCCGCGCGAGTAAAGCGCGCGCAGCGAGAAGGACATCCCACTGCTATGCGATCACTAGGCGCGCGATGAAGCGTTGGGAGGAGCGCTCTACAAATGACAATGGGCGCGTTCAGCAGAACAAATCGCTTGGTAGCAATCGAACATGATTGGCTCTTACTTTTAGAACCAACAAATCAACGTTAAGTGTTGACTAGACGACAATTCAGCAGTTGTTCTGCTGAACGCAGCCAATGGCAACATACGAGCGGCGCGTAACGCTAGATCCTTGTGTCCTAGTGATCGCGTAGCAGTGGGACGTCCTTCTCACCGCGCGCGCTTTACTCGCGCGGATTCGCCGATCTTTTTTCGTTAATTACTCAGTACTTATTATGAAAATTAAAAAATGGTAAAGGACTTTTCTACTCGATTTGACCTCCTCTACCTGTATATGACCGGTGGGGCGATTATTGCCAGACACCCTGTATATCCTCTGTAAATTTTACTTGGACTCGCTTATTTCTTTTAATAATTTTTTCCACGCTTATATTTATTTTCCTTTATTTAAATAGCAAATTATTCATCGTATATAACTTGACGCAAGTAACGTCAAGATAATTCTCTCAGTCAATATTTTTATCAGTGTTAACGGAACGCAGAATTACCATTTGATGCCTGCGGCACCAAAATTCCTCTGCCCAACTCTGGTTATCTGCCAGCCGCGAGCATACTGGCAAAGAGAACAACGAATCTTCGGTATACCTTTTTTTCTAAGGTGCCACCTTAATAGGGGTTTCAACACGCCGGGAACTCGCGCTGCTTTTTGAAGTGTAGTTGGGTGACGAACCGTTTTTGTTCGCCTGCGCTTCAGTCGTCGAGAGGGGTTCGTAGAAAGCTGATGCAGGAAATATTCCCTTGCGTACGTAGGAAATGCACGTCCAGAGAAGAAGCAAACAACGGCGATGAAGTGCTGAACATACGGAACACTTACTTAACGCCTTCGACTGTAATGAGATGATGAAAACGGTCGAAGAGCTATTTATCGTTAAACTATTTATTCGTTAAAAGTAGATAGGTTAAAAGTAGACAGGATGTCAATGCACAATGTGAAACTATTTTTGAAAGTTTAAATGAGAATGTTGTTATCAGCTGATAAAAATTGCGTCAAGTTACATATGATAAATACATTTGCTAATTTTCTAATTTTTTTTGCTTATCACTCAATATTTACTGTGAGAAATCTTGTCGCACGGAATCTTTAAGTTGCGAATATTGATTTTGCACAAATATTTAAGTTCAAAAATGATTTTTAAACTCCCGTTATTTGCAATAATGTAGCAATATCGTTATATTACGTGACACACCTAGTGAAATTCGCCACGCATTAGTGTAAGCGCACTTACGGAGAATCACTAACGTAACTCGAAAGGTTAATCGCACTTGAATATGAAATATACGAGGAAACGGTACAGCATATCATAAGTCCTGTTCTATTCCATTTATGTCGACTACCCTTCTTAACTATATGTGTTAAATTATATCCCGCGAATTCGTTGGATACAGCTACGTGGAAACCATAGAAGGCCTCTTATCGTTGCTTGCGATAGAGAAAGAAAGAGAGAGTCACGTATCTGGATGAACGACTTCCGTAATAATAGAAAATCGGATCGCGCTATCTCTATTAGCGTCGGTTATTTGCCGCAAAACGTGTGGTGCATATACCGTGCATCTCTCTCTCTTTGTAATAAAGGAAAACGCCGAATCACGGAAGGCCGCGCCTTTGTTTCGCGATGCTGTTAACTCTTGATTCGCGTACGCTTGATTTATCGTAAAGTCACTCCGTAGGCGAATACCGGCACTCGTGAGCAACGATGGCGCTTCATGCCGATTCATCCGACGAAATTATAAAATACGCGATACGCGTACGCGCATTCGCGTCTTTCGATTTTGCCTTTTTGCTTTCGAGACCGCGCAAACGTCGACAGTGTTACAGTGTGCTGCGACAGCGTGGGACGCGCGACTTTGGTGTTGCGCAATTTTCACCGCAGAAATTCCTCACTCTTTCGTATTTTTTTCCTTCGCGAACACGCGCTTCGATGCATTTTTCTTCGATAACTTATTCGCGCTTGGACATGATTTAGCGTCGCGACGTATGATCTACACGCATATACGGCTATACGCGCACGACGCAACGTAGGTATATTCATAAATATGTCCTTATTGTGAGGCTCGGGAAGAACGCACACGGGAAATCCATAAATGCAGAACCGGCGATCAGTTGGAAAGCGGAAAGAGGATCGTATGTTGTTCCACCCGTTTGTTTATTCGTTTTCTTCAATCGGATCGCGTTTTTCATTGAGCGCACACGCGCAACGACATCTTCCTCCGTACCGTTTGTCCCTGTCGCTTGTTCTCCGAATAATAAATTGTAAACCCGTCTGAAATGATTCAGTACATCGACACAGGACGCGCGCAAGGGCTACGAATTCTTGGCGGAAAATACTTGGCGTACGTATCGGTTCTTATCCGCTGACAGCACGTTGAAAATGGAATGGTGGTATCCCATTATCTAGGATGATTTATCACTGCAGCGCGTGACCCGCGAACACTCGGCTGTGCTCGTACCCGGGTGAGAGAGCCTCGACATACGCGGAGGATGCGCTAAATTAAAAAGAAGTAATGCCCTTGGCACTTCAGCACTTCGCGCGGCAATTTATTTCCCATCTTTCGCAAATAATCAAGTAAACTCGTGAAGTGAACAAATTATAACTTCCCGTACCCCGTATTTTATCAACGTCCAGACGTATAGGCACTTTTATTAGAATGATTGCACTTATCTCAATAAAACACTTGGTCGGTAATCTAATAAAATCGCGCTTCTTTAATATCGGTAATCGATTGTAAAAACATTTAATGGATTAAGTACACGTTATGCACAGATAAAATATTTCTTCCCTTATTTTCTTGCTTTCGTTCCTTCACTTTCCGACGTTCGATCTTGAGAATTCGTAGCGGAAGAAACCATTTCCTTCGGACAGGTACACACGATACTTACTCGGTTGTACGACAATTCTCGACTATGATGATTTAGAGCGTCAGTTCGTAACAGCCTCCGCGAATGCTCGGTCATACTCATGGCACGGACGTCGGGATCTTACGTCGGTTGTAAGTGTCTACGTCTGGTATGCGGCCGGCGTACGATATATGACTATCTCTTGTACGCAAGCTTCCCTCGCAGTATTCGGGTGGAAGCTAGGGATTTTCTCGCAAAATACCGACACGATCGAGAGTTCGTCAGGTCCCGAAGAAGAGTGAGAGTCGGGAGAAAGGGCAAGAGAAAAAGAGGAAGAGGGTGTAAGAAAGAGAGAGAGAGTGAGTAATCGGGGTTGTTGGTGCTTGAATTTACGACGTGGACCGCGATAACCTCGATAGGCCGACACGGGCATGCAGCCGCGCCGAAGTCGGTGAAGCGTCTATCGTGACTCCCACTTTTCGCGCCATGAATTTTACGCGTATCGAGATATCGCGATTGTTCCGAGGAACGTAATGAAGACTTGAACAAAGCGAGGCAGCAATTTCAGAAGGCTGCTATTAAATTTATAAGAAAAGCAATTTCCACCCCGCAGCACGCAGGGATATGATTCGATAAATAGCCCATTTAAAATTCTATTAAATGTCGTATCGTTATTCCATTTTTCTATCAATCTAAATATTTTAATAATATAATTACACAATTGAGAAACATTTGTTTTAATTTTACTGCTTCGTTTATCTCAATGTTTGATATTTCCGTGTCGAAGTATTATATTTGCTGAGAAAAATAAAAATTTTGTCTTATCTTTCGTCGTACATAAATTACATCTAAATAACATTGCAATCTTATTTTATTTGAAAAATGCGGCCGGAGCCGTCTGCAATTGCCGGAACACAGATGTTAGTCAATATATTATACGCACGTTCGGATTGCGGATATTAAAATACGAGTATAAGATATTGAGCTCAACGGTACGGTGGAATTCATGCGAGATAGCCGGACTCAAGTGCTAATGTATTCGTCAGGCGGCTTACCGATACGCCCATGTTGGGCGACTTGCTCACGATGGTGCCCGCCTTTTTTTTCTGTCATGAGGACCGAACGATCGTTCGGGACCCACTTGTCCTGTCCTGTTCCCCTCGCGTCACCACCAACTTATGGCCCTTCTTCTCCGCCCTTCCTTTCACCGCGCCCTTAAACCCCCTCCTTCGTCGCTCGCTTTACTGCGGGGCCCTGCAAGCTAAATATAGCTAAGTCCGAGATATAAATAGAATATAACCCTGCGGGTCCCAAGATGGCCGGGGTCAGACCTCGCATCGCCTGCTTCTTTTTCTTCTTTCTCCTTCTCCTTCGCTTCTTTCTTGGCTCCTGATCCTTTTTCTTTTTCTTCCCGCTCTACCTCGGCTCTCTGGTCACCGCGATTTACCTGTCGCTTGCTTCAACATACGATTACTCCAAAGGCTTTAACACCTCTCCTGGTATCCTTCAGTTGATTCCCGCGGTCGACCTTACGCGAGAGAGGTCGACTCCCCCGATAAGAGTTCACCGACTCGACTCTTTCGCGTTCGTGCCTTCACGAAACTATTTAATGTTCGGAACGTGTTCTAGCTGGTCTTCGTGTATTTTAAGCGGTCGTGTAGGTTATTATTTGCGGAGAATCCCAATTGTACAGCCGAGCTTTTTTTCACGGTTCTTCGCAAATAATTAAACGCAGAATAATTATAGCATTGAGAGGCCGCGTTCCCGTAGCGTAGCTCACAAACGTTTACATATATTTATCGATATCGCGCAGACTACCGACATCGGGCCGATGCTCGTCGCACGCGTTGACACTCGGTTAGAAAGTTACACGGACACGGATGGATTGAAAGACTGTTCACCGAAGCGTCCCTAATCAGTCCAGCTCATAGTCGTGCTTTTTGCGCGAGATTAAATGCCGGCACTAACGACCCAGTACTTTATACGGGGATGCGGTCGATGGTGCCCGCGGAATATCCTGCGTTTATCATTCTGTACGAGAAGCGGAGGTCGTAAGATCGAAGGAGCAAAAGAAGAAGAAGGGGGAGAGGGAGCGGGTGAGTTGGAGAGAGAAGGAGAGGAAGAAAATGAGGAAGACGGCCCGAGGCTCGACCGACTCTGACCAGGGCCGTATCGGCGGGATTAATGGCAGTGACATCCCGCTCGTGGCCAGATGAGATTCTCCATCTCGCCCGCAAACGCGAGCGAGAGAGACGCGATACCGATGAGCGACGTGAGCGAGAGAGACGGCGGGCGAAAGAGCGAGAAGGAGGCATGTGGTAAGGGGGGAGGGCGGGGAGGGGGAGGAAGGTCCAGAAAAAGAAGTCAACGATGAGGCGGAGGAGGCGGAGGGCCGCCGATGTGAGTCGAGTGCATTGACCTTAGGATTCGATGCGCGTCCTTGAGGGTACCAAGATGGCGGGTTTATGCAACCGGTCACAATGGTATCTGCAGTGCTGCCGCGCTCCTCGTCGCGTTCTATTTGACGCACGACGATTCGACGCGCTTGCATTCTCGAGGGATTCTCTCCCTCTCGCACGTACGACCATCACGGACACGAGCCTGAGACGCGCCGTTAAAGCCAGTCAGTCCAGTTTCCATCGCTGCAGCCTGCGCGGACGAGTCGGGGAATACGCGGCGATTCGAAAGGAAATCAAATCCGAGGAAAGGCCAACGAACGGCCCGGACACGCCCGGCATATACATAACACTGTGTAAAGACAAATGAAAAACATACCCGCGAACTTTTCTGAGTGTCGTATTCCTCGAACGTTCGCGCGAACGACGTGTCCCCGCGGCTCTTCCGCGTGACACGTTTGTCTTCGGCTTGTCACTCGTCGTGCCGCACAAACCGCTTTCTTACACTATTTCGATTCCTTATTTGGACGCAACCGTGATGAACGAATGTCTCTCTGGAAACGCCGTAATCATGCCGATGCGCTTTAGCATTATCTTTCCACGAAATGAATCGTCCGTTTCCTTCATTTCCTCTGAATTGGGAAAGGATTCTGATATACGACACGTTATTTTTATGAAAATTTCTTTTCAATTTAGAGAAAAACGGAACATGATTTTTTTTCGCAAAAATATAACATGTAAATGATTCACTCTCTAACAAACATTTTGTTTCTAAAATTTATTAATTAATAATTTATCAATTAATAATTAATTTTCATTATTTTGCCGAGTACAGTCTTTATTTTCTGCATCCGTAGGACTTGCGTTAAAAAAATATGTGAATGTGATACTGACAATCAGGGCGTAAGAAGCAAACACCTTTACAACGCATATATGTGGCACATTTGCGTGCACTGTCATACGAACAGTGGTGCATATATGTGAACATACGTGTCGCAATTCAAAGCCCCTCACATACGTCTCTGCATATGTAAATGCGCACCCGAAGCAAGTAGGGATCCTTGATCCTACAGGAATGCAGTGCCAGCAGCTGCCCACGCTGCCTCAAGTACCTCTCGTCGTCTCTTTTTCTCCGTCTCTCACATTGTTCCTACTTCTTTCTTTGTTTTCATCTCAGTAGAACCATGTAAAAAGTGCAAGCCACTGCGCCGACAGTCCGCACATCTTCGTCATTCCGTAGCGTTGGCTTCATTGGTACATATTGTGTCCCCCTACTACGTGGTGTCTAAAAATAAATGCGACACGTTATTGAACAGGAAATAGTAATCCTTCTGCTTTGCAAAGTCGATGACGGACGATAGGAATAAAATATTTAGAAATTAATATTTAGAAATATATCAGCGATAAATATGTGAAATATTAAACAAAATACGGATATATTACACTGTATATGTACACAGAGAAAGTTTTATATGAAAAATTACTGCGTACGGCAGTGGCCGCGCTACCATGAAGGAATTATAAAAATTTTTACTATGTTTTTCACATAATGGCCATAGCATTTAAACTTGTAATTTCTCTTACGATTCGCGGTTACTGCCGTATCACAGTAATTTTTGATATAAAATTTCCTCCGTGCATATCACATGTTTTTGCATATATTGTTATGTGCAAAAATTTATTTAATATGCATCAAGAAACATTTGATTTGTAATTGAATTTTATTAATATTAATTTAAACTCAGATTTATATCCAAAAACAATTTAAATGCTTACGCTTAAGAAGACACATTCATACTCCGCGCCGACTAAAAAGAAAAATCGAATTTCACTTCCTACTGTCAAACGAAAAGAAATGTGATAGCGAAACGCCACGCTGTGTCGTTCCCAGTCTATTCTTGACGAATTATGTACATACCGTGTCGTTGTTAATTCCTCTCACTTTAACGTCCGGCAAACGAAAGATACTCGGGTTTCAAACTCACTATGTTACTGCTGTCATGTGGCTCTCGCGTGATCAAACGAGGCACGTCCCCTATAAATAAACTTTTCATACATCAGCGAGGAGAGTGGCCAGCGCAGAATAAAGCACACGGAGATGAAATCATACCTTGCGCGCCGCAGGATGCACCGTGCATCCGCACCGACGGTGTCCGGTAGCTCGCAGCAGTTTAATCGACGTCCTGCGAGGAACTTTTCCTCCAAGCGCCTGCGTGAGCGCAGTTAAACCAACGCGGCAGCGGCGCATATACGAGAGAAAAGATCATCTTCGATCTTCAAGGTCGACCGCATGCGGCTCGAGGCCTTCTCGCGAAGACGTCGATCCAGCCGCGGTGAATTCGTTCGACTGTTTTCATCGTCTGGCAGCTGTTATCCAGCTCCGTTTCTCTGCAGCATTCACTGCTCCGCGTCCCGGGGCGCGACTGCTTACATTTATCGATTTAAACCAAGTCTCGATATGATGGAGCAAATGACGGAGAACGATGTAGACGGAATTGCCGACGAGGTATACCGCCCGCGGTAACTGGACATCGTGAAGAATTCGATAACGTGCCGTTTTTTTGTTTTTTTTTCACTAGGATAACGGAAAAAGGTTATATCCGAATACCGAGATAAGCAGTGATCACGAAACTTTTGCCCCGAAGGATGAGCAATTTCAAGAAGCGGAGGAAAGAGACGAGCCGGAAGAAGAAAGGGGCATTTACAGAATGGATGAGTTTTTTATCGGGGAAGAGAAACTGGAGGAACGTGAGTACGAAGAGGAAAGATATGAAGAACAGAGCCTCGGAGACGAGGAAGTGGAAGACGAGAGGGCTGTACCGGCCGCTGCGACAATCTCCGCGGCAGAAAAGCCCGAAGAGGAAGTGCAAGATGCGGCGGAGGCCGATCACGTGCTCGCTGAGATACCAGTCGAGGTTCGCATAAACTTGTCATTCTGCGTCATTCTACCCGTGGAATTACTGCACCTCACGACCTTCGTAATATTCTAAGGACTTAAGCCTCCCTTCTCATTACGTGCCTCCGCGCAAACGTGTTTCCGCATTATATACGTGTTTTCCATCGTTATTGTGATCGATTGAAATGATAATAATAAAAGGCTTGCCAAGCATCTCAACGTGTTTTTATAAAGATACAGTGAGATGGTATGTATTATATATAATTGTAATACGATACTCTTAAAAAAATAATAGATTAAAGACGTTAGCATTGAGATTTAATGTAATTGCCAGTGCAGATATTTGCCAGTCGCGAGGCAATGATCACAAAGTTGAAAGAACTTTTAGCCGAGCAAGCAGAATTACGAAGGAAAAACAAGTTTCTCGAGGTGTGGATTATCAGACACATGAAAAAAGTTAAGTACTTGAGTACTTAGATAACTGACGTTTATCAAACTTCTGCAACTCATTAAGCGAATCTATATAGGGATAGTATATTTTACGTATACATTATTTGATTCCGTTTCGTACTAAAAATAGTGTAAATTTTATTTTTTGCTCATTACTGCTTTGATATTTCATGTTCCTAACAAATTGATAATGAACACATGGAGAAATATTAGCGATATAGAGACACCTGCTGTTTTCAATAAAAGCCACTCTTGCGCCAACACATTTGTACATGCAGATACAAGAGAAAGTGACACCTATGGACATGATGAAAGATTTCGAGCAAATGGAGCTGATTTACAAGCAAACATTGTACACGTATAAGCAATATCTCGATGACATAATGGAGCGAAGAGCGCGGACAATGGCGGATCTGCAGAGTTACGAAGACAAAGCGGGAAGGACGCGCGACGAGAATGCGCGAGTGTTGGACGAACTGCTGGATCGCGAGAGAGAAATGGCGACAGGTCTCATTTACGCGAAGACCGGGCAAAAGATCATGCAGGAGGCTGTCAACGAGATAACCCGTCGGCAGGTGTAACTTAATGACCGTGAATCATCGCTTGTCTATTACAGCGATTATGTGATATACCAATTAAAGCCGTTCGCGCAGAGTACGCAAAGCTCACGTCGGCATTTCTTCATTGCCAGGTGTCACGGCGCGAGATTCTCACTCGCAATCGCTACGAGTGCATTCTTTTGCAGCATCGCTTCGAAGATCTGAAAGCACAGCTGCAAAATCTGGAAACACTGGGCAAAGGGATGACCACCGTAGATTACGAGGTTTTACGCGTGGCTTACGTGAATTACAGAGACAAGCTGGACGAACGTGACAGGGAACTGGAAAAATTGCGCTACAAGTACGTTGAAACACACGCGGCATTGGAAGCTGCCGCGCGATAAAGTATATTAATACAATTAGTTGTCCCGAAGTTATGTATGTCCGTTTTCTCAAATGGCCTCTGAGTTATTTCAAAATCATCGATAAAGATCGATGTTTGGTGTTTTAACTTGTGCGCCGGGGATATTTTATGGATTGCATTACTGGTTCATGTAGAGCTATCTTGAGAGATATCTACAGTGTCGCAGCTTTAGCATGAAAGATCTTTGACTCAAGGCAACGAATGAATTACTACCGATGTATCTGTCTAACCATCTATCTGAACGAGGGCTTTATTAACCACTCGTTCGCAAATCGAAATTAGAATCGCTGAAGTGGTTAACGGAGTCGCTCACTACAAGGAGAAGGAGACATGCCTCGCGGAGGATATCGAGTTTGAAGAACACGCATTGAACGAGTATCGCGAGCGGACAGCCAGAGTTCGAGAGAACGTCAACAAGCTCCATTTAATTCTGAGAGATTTACGACGAGTCCAGGACGAGAAGAGGCTCGAAGGCGGGCTGCTGATGGCTCAGTAAGATCTGTTAGTTTCGTGCGTAGCAATTTCGGTCAATGTCATTCTCGGTTCATCGACCCAGGCCGGTGCTGCGCGAGATGGAGAGGACGAAGAAGTTGCTGGACGCGTCGAGGGACGACATTGAGATAATCAAGCGCGAGATTCAGCGCTACGGCCCTGAGAACGAGAGAAAGAAGAGAAGCGGCGAGGCATCGGCAATGTCGACGATGACGCAGTACAAACCAGGTCGTTCCTAAATAAATGGTGGAAATTCTGTAACGTCTCTTTCACGAGGATATATTTACTGCGGCCTTTGCGAAAATAATATAGCCTACGGACAGTGCAAATAAGTGCTATGCTTTTTTTCTTATCTCCGAGCCGTCCGTTCATACTTCTTACGAAACAAGATTTATAATCAACCGAGAGCAGTGCAGCTGGTCCGATAATTAGCGAATCTCGTGGATTAATCGCCGGGTGATTGATTTCACACGCGGGCGTTATATGAGAAACAAACTACGCTGGTGTAAATCACAAACACGCCTACGCACGTTGCAGCCGAAGCAACTCGGCTTTGCGCGCGAGTGCGATAAGTCGTTCGCATTATCGCCTTCCGTGTGACAGCTTAATATCATACCGGAGAATATGGCGATGGTATGAGCCATACGCGGTCAAACAATCGCAAATTTCTCGCGTTGTTCGAGTGCAAATCACTGTTCACAACGTATCACAATTACGTTATCGCGATTTAAAACGACTCGCCATTCCGCAATCGTGATTTCGCATAATTCATGAACCCCCTGTAATTGTAACGTCGCGGGATACCCAGCGGTATACTAATTAAAAGGATAGGTTTATTCGCAGAAATTAAGAACCGGCAAGAATATAATTAAATAAAGTTTTCTGCGTGCGACGCTCGCATGTAACTGTCGCGCTCAATCGAATGATTTATATTCGACCGAGGATGCATCGTGTTTCGTACGGTCGAACCTTTCGAAGCCAAATTAATTCGTCCGATCGTGTCAATCCGCCTACGGGTGTTTTTATATTGATCCGTTCGTGATCGCACGATCGATGCGTAACGAACGATTTATCCATATGCCTCGGATATACATTTTCTCGCCGCTGACATACAAGCGTGTTGGTTGGAAATGTATTAATTATGGACTCGCGCAGAAAAAAAAAAATAAATAAATCTGCATGCAGATTTTCACTGCGTATATCTCGCGTCACACGCGTGACGTTAGTACGCTCTTAACTCGATTACTGCATTAGAGCGAACGCATGCATGTAAACTCCGGCGTACTCTTAACTTTCCATGCATATGGAATGAATCCGGGCAAGGCGGAATAAATTGACCACGCGTGAGAACATTAATTCTCTCGACAAAACAGCTTCGCTGTTTTATTTCATCGTTAATTACACGCGAAAGTTCTATCTCGAATCTTCGCGGTGTTTCTCCATTATTCTAAACGTTAGAGAGAAAAAAAAAATACATTTGTTAATAACATATACGTATGTTATACAAATTGCTTATAGAATAATAGAATTTTCACTTCCGTGTTTTAAATGCGCGGTTGAAATAGATGCATTTCTCATATATAACGCTCTCATAGCTTTTTCCGCGTTGTAAAATCTTAGCGGTGCAAAAGAATCCATGCGACTTTCATTCAGTGTCGCGTGTAAATATCTTATAGGAATTGTGTGTGTTTACCGGTTCTTCTTTTCTATACACTATTTTCTAATATATACTACCTTATTCTATTTGATTCCTGTTCCGCGCATAAATGTCGCTCCGAACTATAAGCCTGAAATAACATTCTGCATCCGGTCCGCTCTTTGCTTGTGTATTTACAAGAATGAAGAACGAAACTGGCACTGTCGGAAATTTGACTATTGACAGAAGATTTCATTGTTTCGAATTCAAATAGATAACTTTTCTATTCTTTATATTATTCCTCGTGATTGTATTATTTCTTATTTTTGACTAGTTCCGCGCTGTTCTTTAAATTTTATGTTAAATTGCGCTTTTAAAACGCGGAAAGTTTGAAGACGGAACTTTTAATTTCGACACAAAAATCATTTCAATAGAAACTTTCATTATGTCATTGATTTAATAGCTCGGGTCTTTCAGAAGTCTTTCTTTTCAAACGTCGGCAACGAGACACGTCTCGCTTTTTACAGACTCGACATGTCCAGTGATTCCTAATGATTATTACATTAAGGCAATCTACTCATTTCTCTCGGATTCCCTTGACAATCTCGCGCCGTGACTCCGAGGCAGGTCTCTAACCACATGAACGAGCCGAGGTTTCGTAACTCTTATTACAGGCGCGGATGAGTTAGTGAAATAGCGTTAGATTAGCAAACGCGTTTCATTGTCAGCATGTGGGTAGTACCATTCATTCATCCACCCACCGAGGCGCGGCGTAATTTAAAAGATTCTAAAGGTTATCCGTACACACGTACATTCGCGTGCGGGCGTGTACGGTCCCAGGATCACGAGTAATCGTCAGAAAAGGATGCTCATTAATTTCACGTAGGCGTAGAATTGACTTCAGCGACAAGATTAAATCGAGCGAGGGTGTATCTTCCGCTGCCCGCGTGCGAAGGGCGCAGCAACGACCGAGCGAGGCTCCGTCACGTGATTTGGGGCCAATTAGGGCGGGCGTTGAAGCCATTAATCCCTTTTGGTAATTTGTCCGTACCCGGAATTGATTTAAGGCCGACGCGTGGATCGAAGGGAAGACGAATGGCTCTGTATAGACTGTAGAGAAGAGGTGACGTGTCAATTAAGCTACCCTACAATTCACCGGAAAATTATGTACGAAGACCGCGATACGTGGTACAATAAATCACGGCCGGTTTCTCAAATGGTTCTCGATTTGATGATTATTTATGCGCATCGATAAGACATCGTGGCGTTGCGCTCGGACGCAATCGAATGTGAGATCGCACGATGGCCGGTTTAATTCCGTTGTTTAAATTCCTTTCGCTCGACAAATAATTGCCCGACAGATTCCGTGATATTCCGCACGCTTGGTTTGTGTATTTCTGCCACCGCAATGTTTTTCCAAAAATAATACAGAACAGAACTAATATGGAATAACACGATTTTTCGAGTAAGATTAATGCGATTTTCCTTTTTAGCTGCTATTCTTTGTCATGTTCAACGGTCAGGTAGAGAAATCCGTATGTCAGGTAAAATTT